ATGCCCGCTGTTTGTTGGTGGGTGCCAATATCAACACTAGACAGGGAAAGACCTGTCCCTTATGACTGCATGAGGCTTTGGGGGGACATCCAAACACAAACCATAACATGACCCAATTCTAAAGCTTGCTGCTATGGACTCTGATTGCTTTATCTGAAATGTAGGCATAACCTTCACTTATTTGGCAGTCCAAGTCTGCAATAGAGCATGGAGGAAATGGAACTATGTTTGTCGTGATATAGAAGGATTTAAAATAGAATGGTAAGCATTCTGTATTCCAGAAATATTAAAGCAATTAATTTAACACTTAGTGTTCCCTGTTAAGGTACAGTCCCTAAAAAGATTATTGTTTGTAATTCTCACATGGTTTAAATGAATATCATTATAAACCATAAACAATAAACAATGGATTTCTTTTAATATACATATTACTTGATTAATACTCAAAATTATCTTCAAGACGGACACTATTGACCTGGAGGACTTTGCTGAGCCTGCAAGAGGACTAGTGAAACCTCATTCCACCTGGAGGAACTCAGGCAGGGCTGGCTGTAAGACATCCAGCGACAGCAGAACACCAGCTGGAGAGATAAAATTAAGCAAAATTTAAAGAACAAAAACATAAAGAAACCACCAGGTAGGGCAACAAATTAAACAGAAGGTAAAACCAAGGAGCCAACAACAGGAAAACAATATGACAAAGGTAAGCCAATATACATCAATTATAGCCATCAATGTAAGTATCCTCAATTCATCAATCAAAAGAAACAGATTGGCAGAATGGCTCAAGAAATAAGATCTAACAAAATGCTGTATACAAGAAATACATTTAACTTAAAAGGAAATTCATACAATAAAAGTCAAAGGATGGAAAACAATACTTCATGCATTGAGAACCCAGAAAAAAGTAAGGATAGACATTTTGTTTATGGACAGTGAGAATTTCAAAATGAAAATGATCAACAGACAAAAAAGATTGTCACTACATACTTATTAGGAGGAAAAGTCCAGAGGATGAAATAGCAATCATAAATATATATGCATCAAATACAGGAGCATACAACTATATAAGGCAAATATTAATAACATGAAAAATCAAATCAAATAAACAATAACATAATTTGTAATAGAGGAGCTAAAATTCCTTTGTCACAAGAGATAGATCAACTAGAAAAAAGTCAGAGATAGATCAACTAAAAAAAAATAAATAACAGAGCTGAATCAAACCAATTAACAAATGGATTTAATAGACATTTATACAGTGCCCAACCCAACAAAATGCAATTTCAAATGCCCTCCCATCTGGAATGAATACAGGAGATATCTAAATAGAGGAGAATGGAAGTCCTACACCTGAAAGAAACAAACTCATGAGGATATAGAACAGATCAGATTAGAGATAATCTCTCAGGTAAAGAAAGAAATGACAACATTAATGAAGAAATCGCTTAGCATAGCTAGAGAAGATATAGATAATGTACAGGAGCATGGGAAAAATGATGGAAACCTTGAATGAACAACATAGAAAAGAAATAGAATGCATGACACAATTTCAAGGAGATATTCAGGAAACTGAAAATTCTATTGAAAGCACCAGTCCCACCGCTCCATAGTGTATGCCCCAGAGGCTCTGTTCTGTCATTGGATGTCTCACAGTCCTGCCTACGTTCCTCCAGATGATGTAAATATCTTTTTGTCTCCCTAGTATAAAAACTGAAGGAGTAAAACCCAAAATATACCATAGACATTGCGAAAGTGAAAGAGGAAGAAACCGCTCAAAAGGAAAGAACAACTGGGATGGGGGAAAGGAGAAAAGAAAGAAGGGAAAAGATTATACATATGTATATGCACAACATAGATAATTATACTACTAATCTCTATTATGTTATCAAAAAGAAAAGTTTATGTTTTTATTATTTATTTTTTTCTTGCCTATATATTGTAGCCAGAGAAACTATTTTTAAGATTACAATATGCAACATATTAACCGTTGTTAATCTCCTATTATTTTATTTTGAAATTCTGTATCACCATTTTTATTTTTTTTTATTTTTAAAAATAAAGAAGTTCACATTTGAAGGTTGAGAAAGATGAGCATAAGGTCAAGCAACTATGATTCTGTTAGAAAATAATCTGAAATTTGAAAAAAGTCTTTTTTTAAAAAAAAGGAAATAATAGAAAATTTTTTCTTTCATTGGTATAGAGATGAGAAGTTTGAAACAAATTGTTGTCAGGTTTAATTTCTTCTAGGGGCACTGAGGGAGACTCTTGTTTATCTGTCCCTTGCATCTCTCGTATCTTCTGGTTGCTACAGGTAATCCTTGGTGTTTCTTGGCTTATAACTGCAAACCTCCAATCTCTGTATCATTTCCCATGGATACTCTTCCTCCGGGGACCCCATGTCTATATTTCTCTCTTATGAGGATATCAGTCATTGGATTTAGTACCCACCCTAATTGAGGATGACTTTAGTGTATTTTGAGAACATCTATAAAAATTCTGTCTGTAAAACAGTATCATATTTACATGTTACAAATGAGTGTGAAATTTGATTCCTCAAGGATACACTATTTTAATAGTTAAACTACAAACTTTGTCATAACTGCATATACGATTTTTACAAAACAACAGAGGGGCAGAGTTACGAGACAATGGCGTTGTGTGAATTTCAGTTCATCCCTTACTGAGTGTCGTATTTTGATCAAATTGCTTAGTCTTCCTTAAGTCTGTTTTCTTATTTATAAAATGGGATATGATAAAATAATAATAATAATAATAATAATAATAATAATAATAAAATTCTATCTCTAGGGTTATGAGGATGAAATAAGAGAATGTGTGCAAAGTGCTTAGCCCAGTGTTTGCCATTTACTAAGTGTTAACATTCATTTCTTTTTAAAAAAATAGTAGGTTAATAAGTATTTATTTGGTAACTAATGTACACAGATTATTTTATTTTCTGAAGTGTGTCTGAAGCATGTCAAGAGCTTCATTTTAGAACACCTTGATCTGCACTTCTCCATTATTTAAGGTTGTATGAGAGGCTGTGTTAAGGCTCCTTTTGCAGAAGAAAATATTTGTGCTGTTTGAAGGACTGTTTTCTTTGGCCTATTTGGAGGTAATTTTGGAATAAAAGTCATCTCCCTAATTTTTCTGGGCTTTCATAGTTTTTAAGAGTTTGAAAATATCTTCCCCAGAAGGAGAAAAAATGGCATAAGACAGCAAAGCTGTGAAGGTTTATGGATCACCTGACTGCATAAGGCCTGTGTTTTATACCACTATGTGATGTTGTTTCTGCTTCACTAAGGTTTTGGTAGAAATGTGGAGAAATTTAGTGATTTAGATGTAGCTATTTAAGAATATTTCTCTTTCCATCTAATTGAAATGAGTTGAATTTGGAATAAATTGAAAGTCAAAGTCATCATTAATCTCTAGCTAGCATTACATGAAATAATCTTTATCCAGAAATACTGTACATTTTCCAATAACTTCTGTGGGTCTGACAATGTGTTGTCCTGATTGTCCCAAGTGTTTGAGAAACACTGTTCAGCTCAACTATTACCATACATAAAGTATATGAGTATATTATGTTATGTTTTGCTAGTCACTCAAATGATAAACAGTATCCTATAATGTGTTAGGATGTCCTTAAACTATGTAAATTTGTTAAAAAAAGATCCTTACTTCCATTGAAACTGAGGTCCTACATTCATCTATTGAAATTCATGTTGTTACTTTGAATCTGTCTGTATTCTTGACACTGTAGTTTACTTCCAGTTGGTCTTCAATACTTAGGTAAATTCCTACATATAAAACTATGTTAATATTTTCTTTTCTTTTTATTTTACAAAACACTCACCCATAGTGTATATTAACAACAAAAGCAAAAAATCAAGGAAATGTTAAAAGAATGAAGCCAGATGACAGAATTTCTCCTTCCTAAATTTAATTAGTATAAACAAAGAGATGGAAATAAAATCATAATAAAAGGAGACTGGTTTTGATTCAAGTACAATGTTTGCATATATTGAAATATTACGAGGAAGCTATTAATGTGTAAAATTAAAACTAGTAATAAAAATGTCACCAGAAACTACCAAAGAGAGAAAGCAGGTTTCATACTATTAACTTAAAGAGGTATCAGCTAAGAAGGAAACAACAGATTGTAGGAGAGGCACAATAGATGAGGCTTCTATCACTAAGTGGGGAGTTTCATTCCTTCCTCTGGGAACCCCTGACAACCTTACATATGTAGGAATTGGATATGTAAGGTGACAAGATCTTGACAATTTTCTTACAATTTGAAGAAAAGTAGACTAAAGTAACATTCTTTTTTCTTTCCTTTTATGATAGCCTGGAAATTGTAATGGCTCAGTTGAAACCAAAATGTGAAAAGAAGAGCATTAAAACCACTAACACATTAATGGAAGTACTGTCTCCAGAGCTGGGTGCTGAGGAGCAGGGCCAAAACCACACACTTGAAACAGAGCTGATGCCATATGGCCTGTTTAGACACCTCTCTTGACTCACGGGTGTCCAGTTAACTTCGTATCTTGTAGCTGCACACTTTTATGTTCTAGCCTCTTTGTCCCTCTAAATCCTCATTCTACTCTCCTAAGTAAGGTATATGTATTGCTTCTTAAATTTCAAATCACTTCTGGAAAGCAGAGCTAATTTTTCCAACTTTTGATAGATTTCAATCCATACTTCTTCAATAACACTTACTATATAATTTTAATTTTTGTAAATTTATCATATAAATTTATAGTTTGTACAACTTACTTTTAGTAGATTCCTTGAAGTGAAGATCTGTTGTTTTCATACTTTATCCTCAAGGGCCAGTTTAGCACTTGAAATATTATGCTCATTTAAATGAAAGTATTTTTTGTTGAAATGTGTGCTATTTTTCCTTGTACTGGGGATTAAACTCACAATGTCACATTCATCAGGCAGGTGTTTGTGCTGCTGAGCTATATCCCCCACATGTGCTGTATTTTAAATCAGCACTTCACAATCTTTTTGACATTGTCTTTGAATGCTTGCTTCACTTGCTGATTTCTTAGTGTATAAATGAAAGGGTTCAGCAAGGGAGTAACTGAAGTAATGAGCACAGCTATTCCTTTGTTGAAAGCACCTCCTTCTTTTGCAGAGGGATTAATGTACATAAACATGCAACTTCCATAAGAAATGGAGATGACAATCATGTGAGAAGAACAAGTAGAAAAAGCCTTTGTTCTTTGCTGGGCAGAAGGAATCTTCAGAATGGTTCTGATGATGTATGTGTAAGAAAGTGTTACCAGCACCAGAGTAACCACTAGAGTTATCACAGCCAATAGGATGACCATTAATTCTAAGTAGCTTGTATCTGAACAGGCAAGCTCCATGAGTGGTCCATAGTCACAGTAATAGTGATTCAGAACATTGGAGGCACAGAAATCTACCTGGCTCATCAGGATGATTGGTGGCAAGATGGCTACAAATCCCCCCAGCCAAGAACAGAACACGAGTTGTACACAGATTCTGCTGCTCATAATGGTCAGATAATGCAGAGGTTTGCAGATGGCCACATAACGGTCATAGGACATGGAGGCCAGGAGGTAAAACTCTGTTGCCCCAAGAAATATAGCAAAAAAATACTGAGTCAAGCATCCAGCAAAGCTGATGATTTTATTTCCTGTTGTCATGCTGGTCAATAATCTAGGAATAAAAATAGATGTGAAAGAAATTTCTAAGAAGGAGAAATTCCGGAGGAAGAAATACATAGGAGTCTGAAGGTGAGAATCTAGTAAGGTGAGGATGATGATGGCCAGATTTCCCAGTACACTGAGCACATAGGTGAGGAACAGAAAGATGAATATCACCACCTGGAATTCAGGTTGACTTGTGAGGCCCAATAGAATAAACTCACTAAACATTGTCCTGTTTTTCATTGTTGACTTTCAGTACATCTAAAGGGAAAAGGTGAGACTCAAGAAAACTGAAGATTCTCTTTGAGTCACAGAGACAAAGCTTATTTTAGCAAGAAGAATGGAGTCACATATTACTCTGTGTCCTACTAGCCAAAATTAATGTTTTATTGAGTGCACTTGGCTTCACTGAAGTCCCATGTGCTTTCCTAAAGTCTTTGAAGTTTTTCAAGTTGCTTTGTTCCTAGCAAAATGTGTTACAGAGAATACTATATTGCTTTCAGAATTCTTCAAAAAATTCTTTTCAATGCCTTATGATCTCAGGTTTGGAATGTTCCCAAAGTGGAACATGATGCAACATAGTCTCTTCAAATTCCTTTTCCTTGAATTTTTCTAGGTAACATACGAATTTAATGCAAAAATTCAAAAATTTCATTTTTTGGCATGAAAGGTTAAATGTATACATGTGGAAATGTTATATAATATAGATAATGAAGATGACAAATGAACTTTTAGGCAGACTTAGTGCCACTGCTCACACAGTCAGACGTGGTACAAGGGAAGGTAAATAGTGTATGGTGTCTTGTATTCATTTCCCTAATTCCTTCAGAAGAATACATTGCTGAAATTATTCTTCCCTCTGAAAGTATTTATGAAATAGCCACATTTAAAGTGCTCTCCTCTGATTTCTTTAATCCCTCCTTTTTTTATGTTCTTGTTAGAAATATCTCCACATGACCCTCTTTTTGTGCTTTACTGCTTCATCTGTCTGAACTATTTGATGCTTCACTAGATATTTGTTATCGATACTCACCTCAATTAATGTCCAAATATCTGATATCCATATTTCAGAACAAGTAAGAACTTCTCCACAAGACAATGCTGAAGAAAATCTTATTTTCACTGTGAGACTTTTCCTCTCCATAAATGAGACTCAAGCTTTAGAAAGTCATATTATTTAGCATTTTCTAATGTTTATTTTTTTACCTTTAGTATTTCCAGGATATTGAGTTGAAATATATCTTTGAGAACGAAGATCTTGAGAAATTTGTAAGCAGCATGGTAGAGTGGATTTTGCTCTTTTAAAGCATCCTCAGTGGCAACTAAGGATGAAAATTTATCATGCTCAGTTGTCCTGCCCTCTATTCTTGGTGTTCATAACCAGGAAGTTTTGATAAGTTCTTAGTAGATAAATCGGCAATTCCTAGAGAAGAAAACTTTGTGTAAGTATCCTAAATGCATCTTTAGATTTTTCTGAGAAAGGAGCAAAAAAAGTAAAAATGTTCCTTCAATTGCATGCATAAATTTAGAAAAACCATACCATAATTATCCTTGTTAATCTCTCTAGTTTTCCTTTCATCTTTCATAGATAGTGGGTGACATTGTGACCTGGATCCCCTGTAGTCCCTCCTTTCCTATTTTTACTAACCTGTGGTTTTTGGCAAGTATTGCATTTTCTTCTAGATTTTCACAGATTGATGCATTCCATCATTCACACTTAAAAATAGTTTTATCAGTGATTTAAAAACATAATGCACACCCTGTACACAATCTGAATATCTTCAGAATATCTTGTTTCCCTTAAATACATGCCATGTGTACCTTGGAGGAGGCTAAAATTTGTCATATTTTCCATGCATATGCTTCTTTAGCTTTTGCTTAATAGAAATATCCAGGCTGTAGGTTTAACTAGGAAAGAAGTGTACTATCTTTCATTTCAAGACTACAAAGCAGAATCAAATCACAGTTTCAGACAAAGACTAGCCCTGTCATAACAAAGAAAAACAAACAGCATTCCCATGGTTATAGAATTAGAAGAGAAGACTTTGAGAGCCTGAAATTGTTTTATATTTCTGTTGTAAGAGAAATCATGTGTAAGTCCTCAGAAGGTGGGCAGTGTGCTTCTTTACAGCTTCTGTAGTACCTAGAATGATACAGGTTTTATCTGCTCTTTTTAACTGCTCCTTCCCAGGGGAATCAGTTTCCTGAAGAAGGTAAGATGCCCAGTGGACCCAAGTTCAAAAGGTGGTAATGAACCTTGATTGTTGAAAACCTTTGGCTAGGGAGAAAGGCTCCAGAGAGACCACGAGGTAAGAGTTCTGTGGGAGAATCTGCTTCAGCTATGAAGTTTGTGAAGAAGTTACAAATTTACCTGTTGGGACTGGGCCATTGCTTCCCACAGAATTCAAGATCAGAATAATTACTGGACATTATCAAACAGCTAAAGAATGAGCAATACTTGAGGCAGCAAGGAATCAGCTTCTTATTTTCATCAGCCATCTACTATTTTAAAGTGGGATCAACACTGACTGCTTTTATTTGTCTTTCATAAGCAATGTATTCCTAATTTAAAAGTTTTATTTAAGCCCCGGTGCCATTACTGACTAATCACCCAATAATAAAAGATTCTAGAATTTGTCTATACTGCAATATAGCAGACATTTCCATTATGCTTCCCAGAGACTCCTTCACTGTAGAGGCTTTAACATTCTCTTTTCATTCCTTCTGAATCTCTGGATCTGGCATGATGAGCATAAATTGTTCAGGGACTTTATCTGCAGGCGACTATTTTCCTTAATTCGACCTTATACATCATTATGGTGCTGGCTGCATACGAAGGCCTTCTGAAGATAAAGCTAACATTATTAATACTCACCAGGAAATATGTAGGATACTAAGTACACATCAGTTAACAGCCAATGTTTTTGGTACTCTCTGAATGCAGTATTTTGAAGTTTCATGTCCCATATTAAAGCCTTTAATTCAATAATTCAATTAATTTTTTATTTTTTCAAATGGTTAATACATTTTGTATTATTTTCAAAGTAGTAGCTCAGATTAAAAGCTGTAAGCATAAAATGGATCTAAGAATATAGGCACAAACCTTTCTTTTCAATGAATTAATAAAAATTAGTAGTATAACTATCTTAACTTATCATATATAGTGATATGTATATGCATTTTTCCTTTTCTGTTCCTTTTTTTCTCTTTTACCCAATCTCAACTTCATCTTTCCTTTCGAACAGATTCTTCTCATTTTACATTTTGAATCTTATTTGTTCAGATTTCTATACTGGGGAGACAATATAATGCTTCGCATGTGTGTCTGATTTATTTCACTTTTGAATATGATCTCAAATTGCATCCATTTAACTGTAAAAGTCTCAAGTTTATCCTTCTTTATGTCTTAGTAGTACTCCATTGTACAAAAACATCAAATCTCTTTATATGCACCACTTGGTTTATGGGCATTTGGGTTGTTTCCAAGATTTAGCTATTACAAATTGTGAAGCTACAAACATGGGTGCACATATACTGCTGTAGTATGATGATTTTTAATTTTTCTGGGAAAATACCCAAAAGGGAAATAGCTGGGTTGACTGAGAACTCTAATCCTAGTTTTTTTAGGTCTCCACACTGATTTCCACAGTGGTTGTATCAGTATACACTCTGACAAACAGTGGAGAAGCGTTTATTTTCCCCTAGAATTCCAATTGAATTTGTTATTGAAGTTGATTTTTATTTATTTTTCAAAGGTAATGAATTGGTATATGTATTTGTCATACATAGCATGAACATATTTGAAACATTGTGGAATGGTTAAATTAACAATTGTATTATTCACATAGTTTTGTGATTAGAACATTTACTCTCCACTTTCTTTGCATTTTACAATATGAAAATATGTCATTAACTATAGATACCATATTATACAGTAATCTTCTCATCGTATTCTCCTTGTCCAACTGATATTTTGTATCCTTGACTAGTCTCACTTCCACTGACTCCAACTATCCATCCCTGACATTTATATACTGTTTCTGGTATGTGAGATAAATTGTTTTAGATTCCACATGTAATTGAAATCATACTGTTAAAATTTCTGTGTGGCTTTTATCACTTAGCATAATGTCCTCTAGGTTTATATATATTGTTGGAAATAACTGAATTTTTTATTTCTATAGGTAAACAATATTTCATTATGCACATACTACAGCTTATTTATCTATTCATACACTGATATTTATATGGATTCAACACCTTGATTATTGTTAATAATGTTTTAATTAGGGTAGATATATCTTTGACATACTGCTTTAGATATATATTTGCTTTGGATATGTTCCCAGTAGTAGGATTTTTAGGTCATATTGTAATTCTATTTTTAATTTTTGATGAAACTTCTATCTGTTTTATATAATGGCTGTGCTAGTTTATTATTTTTAATAGATTAAAAGTTCCCTTTTACACATTCTTGCCAAAATATTTTATATATATTTTTTGTTAATAGCCATTCTAACTGGAGTGAAGTAATTGTGGTCTTAATTTACATTTTCCTGAAATTTAAGGATGTCAAACATTTACTCATATAGTTAGCTATTTGTGTATCTTATTTGGAGAAATATCTAACTAGCCTCCTTGACTATATTTTTATGTGATCATATATTTTTGTTATTGAGTTATTTTAATATCTTATATATTTTGAATAGTAATCCCTTACTAGATGCATAGTATATATTTCCTCCTGATCTGTGAGTTGTTCCTAAATTCTGTTTATTGCTTCCTTGGTGCAGGAATTTTTAATTTATTATATTCTCATTTGTTTATTTTGCTTTTGTTGTCTGTGGTTTTGAAGTGCATATTTAAAAATTATTGCCTGGAGTAATATCATGGAGCTTTTCCCCATCATTTTCCCATCAGAGGAACCCAGATACCAGGCCCATTTACCTACACTGCAGAGGGACAGCCAACATGGGAACTGGTTTGTTGGGAGAAACCCAGGAAAATGTCAAGATGAAGGAGCAAAAGGAAATCTCAGAAGTCCAGCCCACACAGAACAAGTCTGAGAGATATAGACATGGAAGAAAATGAGTCACACACTTGAAATCTCTCAAAGGATAGCAACTGAAGTAAAGAAACAAATTCATGCAATTGAAAAAGTAATCAAATCAGAAATATTTCAGGTAAATGAATAAATCACAAACATAATGAAAGAATTGCTGAATACATCTAAAGACATAGCT